ATAAATACGATTTGCGTTATGTAAGAGTAGGGCCAGAGCACAGACTTCTGCATAACGCATAATACACAACGCACAAGAGAATCAACCAATCAAAGTTCTTCATTTCTATCCTGAGGAGGGGAATGAAGAAGACCAATTGGTTTATTCTCTTATACGTTATGTATTATGTGTTGTGCAAAAGCCTGTGCTCTTGCCCATAGCATGTATGAACAACGTGGGAGCAAGCCCCTAGAGATATGACCCTTCTCCTTTTGTTTATTTATTTTATACGTAGAGCCGAATGAATAGACGAGCAGCAGCTCGAGGTAGTAAACACAAAAAAAACAATAGACAGCGTAACGGTAATATAATTCAGACGCCCGTCGGCGGAAGTCGAGCGGGATACGGAAACGCACCGAAGGCTGGAAGAGCACCTTCGAGTCGGGCTCTCGCGCAATTACCTCACGCGACGATTGATCAAAAACGGCGGTTCGAGTGGGAATGCGCACACTCGGAGATCTCCAAGGGAATGCGCACGAGGAGATCACTCCCAGCCTAAAGCTCACCATCCAGCACCAAGAGATACAATGGACATCAAGGGAAGGCGCACGAGATGTCCCTCTCAGTTGCTGACTCAGATCACTTAGGTCACATGCCGGGCCCCCCGGGAAAGCGCACGGCGAGGCAGGTCTAGCGATCAAGAAAACATCTGAATCTGACCGGTGTCGAAGGGGAAACGCGCGACGACACCGGTATTCGGAATTAAGAGAAATCAACCAATTGTGTAAGGGAACAATGCTCGATCCAGGTCACCCGTGGAATATTAGAAAATAATGATTCGATTAACTCTCACCAACCTTCTGCACGAGTGATGATGGCACGTCTATCTCGGGCGTCCAACAGCGACTGACTAACTAACTGTATCGCGACATCGTTTTTATGATCCGCGTCTCTACCTTCCAAACGTAAACACATCGTTCTTTCCACCATTGACCTCACTGCGATCGTTATTGTTTTTCAACGCTCCGAACGCCTATTTCGGATTCTCATATGCAATATTCACATCTCGTACGATATGAATGGTTAGGTATTAACACATCGCATGCGGGTATATTTCGCCGCGGACTTACGCCTGTAGCGGGCGTTTTTTCGTGAATTTCACGGGAGTTTGGTCATTCGGTAAAATCGCAATAAATCGATAAATCGTTCTGAAGCTATTAAACCAAGTAACTCGACAAACTAAATTTCTTGGAAGAAACAATGGAAATCGTTGCCTAGCAACACAAACACCATACACACCTACAATGCCCATCGTGTTTATACGATACCCGCTCTCCAGTACAAATCTACTAAATACGTACTTTTACAAGACAGACTGCAAAAAACGTAAAAGTACGTTTCCCGCATGCAATGTGTTAAAAACAAGAATCGATTCAATACTTTTATTACAATTATATGCTTTCCTTCAAAGCTATTCACAACAACAGATCGACGGCACTCTTTGGAAAGAAGGGGGGCGGAGAAGGAAAAAGGGGCGAACAAGTAAAGAAAGAGAGGGAAAAGAATACTTGCCTCGCAGTTGTGTGCTTATCAGGCCAAGCTAAACCGAAAAATCCTCCGTCTCTCATTTTGCAGATAACCATGTAAATTTTGCAATTAGTAATTGAGGAGAATTGGCGGACGCGGATCGTGTTTGATTATTCACGTGCGCTGGCTTGTCCTTGACCGGACTTTCTCAACACAGGTCTTATTTGGGGGCTTGTCCTCAGGGGACGCCCGTGTCAACGTCAATTTAGAACGCACCTACGAAATTCGGGATTTGCCAGTATCTCGGCCATACCTGAGCCACAGTATAAGAAAGAAGGAGTAGGTTCACTCGATGGCGGTGCTTTTGATCTCAAGTGCTACAAGACCGCCATGTTATTGGTTGTGCGCGGGTTATAATTTGAATGACAATAAATAGTAGCTAAAACAGATTTATTGCTGTTTTTCAATATTTACCGTAAAATCTATAATAAAATACATTAGAAAATAATATAAAAATATGGACTATTATTAATATAACATGTTAATAATATTATAATTAATAATATAGAGCATATTACTAATTATAATATAGAAAGATGTATATACATATATACAGGGTGCTAAATTTCAAACGTAACAGGTAGAAAATTTTGAAAACTAAATGATACTGAGGTCCGCCTTTTTTTTTATACTGTATTGTCTCGAAGGAGACACATTTTGATTGAAACAAAATTTAACACTTTGCAAATTTAAATTTGCACTTTTGCAGTTTATTACACCCACATTTATACCCACCTCTTTCATTTATTTTACTGCTTTTAATAAAATAACAATATTATATTAAAAATTCGGTCATATGGTTAATCGTTGCTTACACTTACACATTTTGACTGAGCTATTGGCCGCCATCATATTGTTGGTTTTGCAGTACGGTCATGCGCGACAAACGACCGTCCGCACTATTTCGTGCTGAGTGAACCCACTGTTCTTTCTTACACTGTGCCTGAACCCTACGGAGGCATGCCTACTTTGGAACATTCCCAGCTGTGGAGCCATTGCATACTTAGTTTTCGCCCCGATTAATTTCTAACCGGGGAAGAACGTCAGAAAGCCATATAAATGGAAGGAAAATGAAACGGAGCGCGAAGGGGAGTCTGTTGACACGCTCTTGGCGCCGGATCGCGATAAATGCGATTCCGATGCGAGCGCGGATAGCACAGAGAGGGTGCTCTTTAGAGCGTGACGTCAGCGCGCTCGAGTGGTCAAGCCGAGCGAATCGCGGATTTTCCGTTCTTGATCGCCGGCTAATGTCGCTTCGATCTCATTCTCTCCGCGACGCGGCGCTCTTTGTTCCTTTGTCAGCTGATCAGCGACGGGACGCGCCTTGAATCATACCGAGAGGAAGGGGACACTCGCGCTATCCTAATGTTTGCCCCTTCATCGTCATGTCGCAATGGCGCCCTCCTCTCGATCGTGTTCCGCGTGTTCTGTCTCCGTCTACCGATGGAAATACGCGGAGGTAAATACTCGAGGATTTGCACGACGGAAGTACACAAAGTCAGATATGAAATGAAATGTCTCTCTCTCTCTCTCTCTCTCTCTCTCTCTCTCTCTTTCTTTACAAACTGCCTTCCGTCGTGGACCGAGAATCGCATCCCTTTATCTCTTCTTCTTATTTGTTGTAGAACGGGTTTCGCATTAATCTTACGCGCCGTGCTCCGCATTTCCTTCGTATCTTGCGCGTTCTTCTCGCACACGATGCGCGCACGAGTGAGCCGACCCGAAGAAGGAAGACAGAGAGGCTTCTTCCGCTTTCTCGCTATGAGGCGGCTAAGCGAGCGGCAGGAGAAGCGAGGGATCTAGCGTGACCGAAGATCCAGCGGCGCAGCGTCGCGGATGGTGCTTCGCGTGTAAGTCGACGTAAATACTCTCGCAACATGGAGCTTAGAGCGCGCAAGTGCTCTCGGAGCACGCGGCGGGGTGAACACGGCCGAGGGGCGGACGATCGAATACGTGCGGAACGCACATATTTGCCAGGCGTCGTGCATTTCCGTGAGAGAGAAACATCAGCTCCATATTTCCAGTTGAATATTCCTTTAAATTTACAGAGCGTCCTGTAACACGATTAGCTATTTTGTCAGGTACATCCAGGGAGGGTGATTTAAATAGCCGCTGTATACGCAGAGAAAAGACAAAAGACCCAAAAAAAAAATTCGCCGCCGGCTTCGCGATATGTGCACTCGCGTCTGCTGGTGAGAAGCGATTTGGCAAAAATGCAGAAATCTACGCAGAAACGAAGAGGATTAGGGACGTTTGCCGAGAGTTGCTCGCGAACAGAGAGAGGTCTCTCTCGACGGACGTAGCGTAGATCCGCCGATAATCGTGAAGCGATCGTAACGAGCGCGACATGCACAATCGGACAAGGAAAATCGGACAAATCCCCGCCAGTGTTGGCGCTCTCGTTAGCCGGAACGGGCTGTAATTCCGGCCGCGCGGCGTAATAATATCGGCGTGACCTCGCGGAAATTCGATACTCGGATATACACGTCGGGCTCATAGGTAGGTTTAGGAAGGCGATCCGATGGAATTCCCCCGATGGTGTGTCGCCGATTCGCCGGATCTTTGAGAAAATTCCGCGGAGATTGCCTTAATCCTTCCCGGGCGCACGATAGCAACGCGCTCGATACGTCTCGGACGAAGTTTTCCGCGAAATTGTATTCCTCCCGTGAATTGTATCTTCAGATATTACGATACCAGGCACGAGTTCGATAAATCTTCCGAAATGCGGAATGCGCCGACGGAACGCATGAATAGCGGCACGACCGAACGGTATAAACAGCGCGGTGAGGTATTTCCCATCGTCTCTTTTTCCGTGCCTCCCACTCCACGTAGCGTAAAAAAGTAAGCCCGTCCACAGCTCTTCGTATCAACGAGGAAATTGCGATTTCCAAGCGTGGCCGTTCAAGTTGCTAGCGTGTGTACGCGTGACAATGTGTGTGCGCTCGGTCAATCTTCCCTGCACGAGCTAAATATTTCCCAACGCACACGTGGGATCATTTATTAATACCACGGGGAGAAGCATCCGCGGTCAGGTCGGCCTCACGGGCGATTTGCGCGGGACACTTTCCTCAAGAGAAACCACCCTCGCCATCGCGAGCCTGTAAACGTACTGCGCCCCGAGGCTTATCGCATCTCCGATTGAAGAAACAATCCCCCAGAGGCAAGGTGTATCTTGCGAATGAGAGCCGCGTTACATCACTCACTCGTCGTACCTCGCGACAACACGGGAGAGTTTTGAAAAGAATATTGTCCGAGAGAGAAGCCCGCACGAGTCCTCGCTCGCACACAAGCATCGCGAGCTCAAATGGCGAGAATATAATCGCGCGCTCTTGTCCCTCCCCTCCCCTCTCTCCCTCCCCCCTCCACCTCTGTCACATTTCTTTTTCTTCCTTCTGTTCCTCCCTCGTTCGCCCGAAATTATTTCTAGACAATACCTTTGTCGGAGCTCGGCCCCATTCATCGGATCAACCCTCACGTCCTCGCCTCACCTAGAACACAGAACGTCGTATCCGTAATTAGTACGTAGACCACTTGTGTAATTAAGAGAGTGCGGCCAGCGTGTCACGAAGTAGCCAATTAGGACGTACGTAGATATCATCTCACTTCACAGCGTATCTTTCATTTATGCCGCGTAAAGCAGAGCGCGAACCGAAAAAAAGCCCGCGCGAAACGCTCTGCCGTTCTTCTTGCGCTTTACATTTTTTATAATCTCCGGCAGCGCTCCGCGCTGCACACGGAGGGTACAGTGTAATTACAGGTCGACTCGGCGACTTTTTCTCTTCGAGCGTCTCTGAAGTCAGCCGGTTCTGCTCTCTCCGAGCGGTTATTGCAGCTTTTTATAACGCCGGCAATGACTCTCTTTGTTATCTCTCTCAACTTTGGCTTCACTTTCGCTCTCTTCTCCTTCTCTCTCTCTCTCTCTCTCTCTCTCTCTCTCTCTCTCTCTCTCTCTTCTTCCTCCCCTCTTGCCATCGAGACGCCGGTGTGACCTTAAAGGCTTAACAGTCTCGCACCTTTCTCTGCCGTGCCTATCCGCTCGCCCACCCGTCGCGTGACCATTTTTTCGCATGAAATCACTCGAGTAATACATTCCCGGAACTTGGCGGATGCGCCCCGCGGGACACCTCGCGCGTATTTGCCATTTCTCCTCGGAATAATGGAGCACGCAAAACGCAAACACGACCGCGGGAGCTGAAGCTGTCATTGTTCTGCGACCGGGAATTTCGCAAACCGTGAGCACCTACATCTGCCACCTTGCTCGGGACGTCTCGCTGACGAGGAACTTGGCGGGTCGTTTGCATTCACTCGCGCGGCACTAACGAAGACTTGAGACTTCTCGATTGACGAGATATCCACGGAAAATGGCATCGTCGCCCGCCGAAGCATTGATTCTCCTTCTCTCCCTCCTTTCCTCCCCCCTCCCCCCTTTCTCTCTCTCCCTCTCTGTCTCTCTCTCTCTCTCTCTCTCTGTCTCTCTCTCTCTCTCTGTCTGTCCATCTCCATCTCTATCTATCTCTTTGTCTCGAAGCTCGCAAATTCCATTGGCGGATTGCCTCCGTCGTTACGTGCTTTATTTCCCCGCGACAGTGACCTCGTCAGCGCGGGACCGGCTTTCGAAATCCCGAGCGAAAAGCGCTGCTCGCGTGTATACACACGTGTGGATCGCTCGCAGCTGTTGCCGGATTCACGAGCGGCCGCCAGGGTCGGATCTGAGTGCGGAAACTAATCATCCGCGTCTTCTGCGTAACAGCGCCACTCGGAGATATTATGGTTTTGGCGTTTGGGATAACAGTCGATATAAGCCGCCGTCGTATTCGAAGGCGAGAGCAAATAATTCACCGAGGGAGCTCTGCCTTTGCCACGAGGGTGAAAAGGTTAAATCCTTCTTCTTAGGATTCTTCTTAGGAAAGGGGAAAAAGAGGGGTTGCACTGGAGGACGGGAGAAGAAAGAGAGACAGACAGAGAGAGAGAGAGAGAGAGAGAGAGAGAGGGAGAGAGGGGGGGGAGAGAGAGAGAGAGAGAGAGAGAGAGAGCATGTCGGAAGTTTCCCCGAGACCTTTACCGCAGGGCAATATTTGTCTGGCAAGTTACTTTGTCCAGCTGGGAGAATCCTAGCGTTCGACCAAACATTTATATTGGACCGCAGGGCGGGCCGGGTCTCCGATGGTGCGCGAATCGAAGAACAACCTTGGGGATCCGCCGTCGTAGTCAGCATACGAGCCTCGTCACTGTACCGCAAAGCAAATAGACGCGCCTAAACCCCACGCACGCACGCGCGCGCCGTTCATTTAGAGCCGCGACGATTAGCGCGCGCAGAAGAGTAAAGCGTCGTCTAAAATGGCAGTAAGCAGTAAGAAGTAAGCGTAAGCGATAAGAAATAAACCAATCACGGTCGATTATGACAAAAATAATCAACTGTGGTTAATCCATTTCTTACTGTTCACGCTTACTTCTTACTGCTCGCTGCCATTGTAGACGACGCTTGATACCTGCGCGAATCGACGGGCCTACGCAGCTGTGACGCGGACGCGGCTCCGCATGCCAGGCTCGTCCTGGAGCATCATGACGAATAAATCATCCCCCGAAACTTCCTGTCGCGATCTCTCGCGCGCAGAATCGCGATCGCGCCAGAATTCCGGCATACGTAACGCGCGTACGCGGCGAATTTAGCGATATTTACCTCGAGGATCACCGACGCGCGCGACTCGTCGAAAAGCAAAGTTCGGCTGGGCGAGAGAGGGAGAGACGGAGACAGAGACAGAGACAGAGAGAAAGAGAGAGAGAGAGAGAGAGAGAGAGAGACAGAGAGTCATCGGTGTAAATAGTCTCTGATCTTCCTTGTTCTCTCGCCGCCGTTCTCTCTTTTTCCCGCTAAAACGCTGTCCGTGCACGACTTTTCCGGCGGAGTCGTTGGCAGTGAAAAGTAAATGTAGACGCTGCATTGAAGAAAGAAAGGCGCGCAGCTTTGCATCGAACCAGCGGCGGCAACCGCTGGTAATTAGCTGCCGAACGCGACGTTAATATTAGTTAAAACAATCTAACAACTACTTCCCTGCCACGCGCGTGGTTAGCGTATGTGTGCGTGTGTGTGTTCGCCGTCTCGCCGTTTCAACAGTTACGTGGAGTTTACGCGTACGAAATTAGCGTGCTCCTTTGTTTGTTTGCCGTGGCGCATAATATGGCATAGTCTGTGAACGAGCGATAGTCGAAAGATCCCCGCTTCTAAATAGAGTACCTTCCCGGTACAGGCCGAGCGGCTCTGTTTCGCTAAATCTTGGCGACGCGACGGTTAGTTAGTGGCTGTATCTCTCCCCTCGTGCGCGTCCACGGTGTGTAGTTGTAAAACCGCCCCGCGGTCGGAAGCGGACGGCTTCGCGACGGCGATGACGTCTTTTTGTCCTCGTTTCGCGGGGATTAGGGGTTTCCCCGGCTGGATATTAAATGAGCGATCACCGCATGGAAACGACGTGGGCGGCGGATCCGATGTAAGGATTATTATCTGACCCCGGTAGAGCGTGTCAACGAGAGAGAGAGAGAGAGAGAGGGAGAGGGAGAGGGAGAGTAAACAGATAAAGAGAGAGAGCGAGCGAGGGCGAGGGGGAAGGGAGGGAGTGAACAAGCAAGAGACCAGAGGCTATTTACACCGACGACGTCGATATTAAATTCTATTTTCGCGAGCCGACGAGGAAACTCCCGTCGCTGATGGACGTCGGCTACAATCGATGTTGCGTCTCGCAAGAGGCGAGAGAGAGAGAGAGAGAGAGAGAGAGAATTTCCCGAGGGAGACAGAGGTACGCGGCACACACAGGATAAAACTCTGCCATTCATCCGTCTGTTCTAATTTCGTGTAAATTAACGGACGAGATTAACGGAAAGGGTGGATTTGGAAGGGGGGTGGCGGGAGCGGGGAGAGAGAGAGAGAGAGAGAGAGAGGGCCGATGGAAAGAGTGAGCGGCCGGGCACGAGTGTTCAGATTAGGCTACAGCTTAGGATTTAATTAAAGGCGTGATGAGACCGCGATCTGTAACGACTTTGTCTCGTCGCTCGCACGTGTTCCTCGTGCTTTCTCCCTTGTGTATCAGCCATATCTCGGCTGTACCGTCCTCGCGTATGGCGTGAGCAAACCGCATCGAGAAATGCGCTTGCTGTGCCCTTCCCGTTGCCTTCACGAGTTTCCATTCTCACGTCGGCTAAGAGTCGATGCGTCGCAATTCGTGACTCGCGCAAGATCAAGAGAGCGAGAGGGAGAATTCAGTTAATATCCGTTGCAACCTTATCTCCCGCCTCAAGAAGATCGTCGAGAACAATCGAGGCAGATATCGGAGGCTGCGAACGCGCGCCATCGCTGAATTGAATCTCCGATCTCGATCGTTGGGCGAACGCGCCGGTGAATTTCATGGCCCTTGACGTCGCAAGGTCGCCTCGCCTAAATCTCCCTTACACCGTTGGGAAAGAAGCGGCAGCAGCTTCCATCTGTCGTTTTCGCTCGCTCTTTCGTTTCTTCTTCCTGTCCTCGAGGGGTGCGATCGAGGAGGGGTGTGTCTCGCTTCAGGCGCGATTTGTTGCAACTCCGGTGCGACCTCTTGATTTTATCATGTCTCTCGTGTACCATCGATCTCTCCCTCATCTGCCATGTGTCGGGCGGTGCGCGCGCGCGCGCGCGCGCCTCTTGATATTTTATGACAAATATCGCGGGCGTTCGCCATCGACTTCTCTCGCCGGTCTCGTCGATATTCATGCCTGCCCGTGTTGTCGATACTAGGCGCATGCATTCGCACGGGTGAACGAATGTCGGCGAAAATAGAAACGCGAGCCGTCGAAACGAGGGATTTCCATTTTCTCCGAATTGAACGCCGCTGAGCAGCGGGTTCTCTCGGGGAGAACCCGGATTAAAAGTTTCTTTGTGCGAAATCCGCCGTAATCCTTCGCGCATTGTTGGCTGCGTGATTGTTGAAACAAAATGTGATACGCACGTGCGCCGCGAATCAAACGCATATAAAGCATTTCTCTCTCGCTCCTTTCTCTTCTTTTCAATGCAGAGCGGAGAATTTTCTCATTTTTCTCCCCCCCCAAGAAGAGGCGATATCGCTGATACGCGCTGAAAACTGCGAGACCCATCCGACCGATTTTGGAAAATAACACGCGGAGGGAAACCCGGACTCGCGTTCCGACGCGAAATCGTCGGCCAGCGATTTGTTCGTTGCGCTTTACGAATGCAGCGATCGATCGTACGAGTAATCGCGGTTGTCCAGCCCGACAGATTTTGGAGCAACAAGTCGCGCGATTTGTTACATACATACGAATCATTTTCGACCGACGAAATGCTTTAATCTTGATGGATACCCACTGACTCTATCGAAAGAGACTCTCCATTTGCCTCGTTTATTTGTCGAAGACGGAGCGCGCGCGCGCGCTTCTGATTAACAGAAGCGGGCAGGTCGCGGCTGCGATTCGCGCCGAAAATTAAAGAGCGAGCCACGTGTAACAT